AGAGTGTTCAAAAGATTGACGAGTTTTATGAACAGGTTTGTTTTACCTACTTGAATGGCCTGTTCATAAGTTCGACTCAAGCCTTTGCCTCAATTTCTCTTTAGGTAATCTTTCCGTCGTTGGACATCCCGGGCGAACAATTCAACCGAAAGAAATTCACATTGAACAACGAGTGGAGGGCTTGTTTTAAGTGAGAATTCTGAGATTATTTTAACTTTAATTTACGAGCTTTCTTTTGTAATTGAACTTGCGATAAAATAAGAGATAATGGAGCTGTTAAAAAAATGTCTTTTAGATACAAACACTCGGGAGAAAATGAGGGAAGTGATGGATCGTATTCGGATATTGTTGGCACCTATGTGATCGAAATAAAGCAGTGCCCCTAAAATGTATTTATTACTGTATATTGCTGTATATATCAATGTTCCTCTCTTCTTTGTCTTCTTCTGATGGAGCAACATCTCTTCATTCACACCATCGATGCAATAAATTCTCTCGTTTGTGTGCAGTTTCTTTTCTTATCATGTAAACTTTTTTTGGGGAATAAATAAATGAAATTGGCGTGATGGGCAAATTTGTGATTGTGTACATTGTGACAACGTGAATGGGATTGGGTGGTGCAAAGTTACAAAGCAAAGTTGGCTTCAGAAATATGAACGTTCAATTGTTGTTCATGATTGTAATGTCGATTTGCTGCTTGGATTCGACGACAACAACCATTGAGCAACTGAATAACAGAAAACTTTCAATTCATCGTCTCTTTTGAATCCTGTGGTAACGATGGTAATCAGCCAAAACATTTTGGTTGCAATCAATATGATTGACCCGCTGTGTGCTGCACTGGAGGATGTGCCCCACCGGGTACTGGATAAAAACAGGGAATAAATAATAAAAGCTGTGCATTATCTTACATTCAATGTTGTTTTGCTACCTACAAAAAAACCGTTTTTTGAAACGGCTGCCTAAGCAATGTGTAAAGCGACGAATAGCCAGAGAAACACATTTGCTGCATAGAAAAAGTAGGTTGACAAGCTTAGCAAATAGCCAAAGATAACAGGATCAAGTTGATGTTCCAATTTGTCAGGAATGAAAAAGAAGCGTTACATCCAAATACCGTCTTTCCTCTAATAGCGCCCCGGGGCACTATTCTTTCGAACGTGCCATTTGGCTAGAGCACTATTTTTGGGTCACTACACCGCAGGTGTGGACAACCTTTCACTGAGTCCAGAACTGTTCAAATTTTTCTTTTATTACGGGGTCTAAGCTCAGAGAGTTGCGGTTTCGAACTGAGTGAATTAAATTTCTGGGCTCAAAACCAGTTCTGAGAGCCGTAGATCTACTGAAGACAGTAGATCTTTTTTGCTTGCATCGAACTGCACCGCATTTTGAGAAAAACACCAAACTCATGGTAATTAGTAAGTTGAGCTCTATTAGCCCTCCAGCTTTAAGAGATTTGAATTCTTTGACCCTAAGGATCCTCCTTATAATTTTAGCTATTACCCTGTGGTGTATTAACTATAAACTGGGTCTGCAGTCTGCTTCATATTTTGCCAGGAACTTGGTTTTTCGTTGTTTAATACCTTCCAGATAGCTTCTTTGTTGAACCATTTTTGCATATTTTTGCGAAAACGACTTTTAAAATCAAAGCGCAGCTAGTTATAAAGCTCTAATCTGATTAATTTTTTGATAAAGCTGAGCCTAGATAGATAATCTGCTTTAGTTCTGAATATAATAAACCAAAATTATAAAATCAATTTATTCAAGCAATTTGAAATTTAATTTTCAATTACTCTAATGATGAACGTTTTCCGTAAATACCATGCTCTGCGGTAAATCCCCTCAGTAAATCCCCTCTGGGCTCAGAACCAGTTCTGAGAGCCGTAGATCTACTGAAGACTGTAGATCTTTTTTGCTTGCATCGAACTGCACCGCATTTTGAGAAAAACACCAAACGCATGGTAATTAGTAAGTTGAGCTCTATTAGCCCTCCAGCTTTAAGAGATTTGAATTTTTTTGACCCTGATCCTCTTTATGATTTTAGCTATTACCCTGTGGTGTATTAACTATAAACTGGGTCAGTCTGCTTCATATTTTGCCAGGAACTTGGCTTTCTGAGCCTGAGCTCTGATCTGATCCTAGATAGATAATCTGCTTTAGTTCTGAATATAATAAACTAAAATTATAAAATCAATTTATTCAAGCAATTTGAAATTTAATTTTCAATCACCGTAATGATGGACGTTTTCCGTAAATACCATGCTCTGCGGTAAATCACGGCAGTAAAATTAAAACGAGCGATCGTTGATTTTCCACATGAAAGTCTTCTTTTAAAAAAGGCTCTTCCAGCTTGTTATGATTCTTCCATAATATTAAAAGAATATTTCAGCTAGTAGAATGGTTCTTTATTAAATTGAATTCGCAAAGAATTGAGGAAAGAGCTCGCCAGATCACTGTCATCTTCTAATCTTTCGAAATGACATCCAATTTCAATCTTTTCTAAAAGTTTCGCAAAACAATCAGTACTGAATTGTTCTGAAAGATCGGAATGTGGAAGTTTTCGGCTTTGAAGACAAATCAATTTTTGCGTTTCTTTTGATGCAAAATCAGTTCGAAGCAAGTAATTCATTTCTTCTTCAAAAATTTTATTTGTTCAACTCAAATGGATAATATTTTGAGGTTTTGTCTTTAAAAAACCAAAAACGGAAATGCTTGACGCATTTTCAAAAAGCAATGTTATACAGGAATTAAAGGAGACTTTTTGAAAGAGTTCCTCGAAATCGTTGGGCGCAAAATTACTCTTGCTATTCCAAATTCGAATGTAAATTCCAAATGCCACACTGAATATTACCGCACCCTATTAAAATCTAGATGTACCCGGATACTCAATGGAAATTCAACTGGCATCCCATGATCTATAAACGCGAAAATGAGGCTATCTGTGATAGCGGTGATCTTGAGCGCGACCAATATTTGGTAATCCATTCCTTTCTAAGTGCATTCAAGATAATTTTAGAAACTTCACCCCGACACCGACGACTTAGTGATACGAAAAGTGCCGGAGACGCCGATACATCTGCATGTTCTCAAACGATCGTTCAACGATGCTAGTTTTTTTCAAATTTTAATGAAGATAGCTAATTAAATGCCTTAAATTTCACATTTTTAGAATTAATATTTACGTTTTAGAAAAGATTTTACACGTATGTGGCGTTGGCTTTTCGATGGGAGTCATGGAGTATGGAGTAATGTGATCCTCAAGAAATCCTCAAAATCGTCGGGGTCAAAATCACTCTCGTAATTCCAAATTCGAATGTAAATTTCTATTTTCAAATGCAGATTTTCAAATAAAACCTTTGCTGTCAGGAAATTTCCGGAAAAATCGAAACTGTAGAGATTGGTGATTTTTGGGAAAAATTTGGTGATCTCAAAAAGCTTTTTCATTTTTCTGACAAGCACGGCTCCAGTTTGATGTGTCAGTTCCATTGTAACATCTAGACAATATCGCATTTGATTCAAAAGTTCCCAAATAGATTTCACCGTAATTGCCACTTGCTTTCCGTTATTTCTTACCATATCATCAAAAATATAAATCGTTGTAACTTCTCCAGAAACAAGGCTGAATTCAAAGCAAAGTTTATTCCTTGGTGAATCATCGCTCAAGGTTTGTAAAGATCTACCAAATTCAATTTTCTGCATTTTTCTCGTAAACAATCCATTCTTCAAAATAAAATATCTAGATTGTTTGTCGAGCTTTCAACTCACCAACCCAATATTAATTTGGCAACTTGAAGTTGATAACACTTCTCCTTAGAACTTTTGGAAATAATTAAAATTTGCGTGATTAGAGAAAGCAAATAATTCTTTATAGAATGATCTTTAGAAGATTTGAATAAACTTTTGTCTTCGGTTTTCTTCAAAGACAGGAAGATGGAGAGTCAAAATGGCGGCAATATAGACCAATTTATAGCCAACTTCAAATGACCAATCTAATCTTACAATTCACATTTTTAGAATTAATATTTACGTTTTAGAAAAGATTTTACACGGATGTGTCGTTGGCTTTTCGATGGGAGTCATGGAGTATGGAGTCATGTGATCGAAACAAAGATGTGCCCCTAAAATGTATTTATTACTGTATATCAATGTTTGTTTAAAAGAACTCATGGAACTCTGTCTTTTGCTTTCTTTGTTTGTCGTGGTCAATAAATGTTCTTTGTACACAAGTTCTTGAAAATTTGCTTTATTTGGCAAAAACATTCATCCCAGCCAGGGCTGTTCCTAGGCCCGAAGTTTCAGGCCAAGCCAAATCCAAACGTTGGCTTGGCCTAAAATTTTTTCGGAGTGCACGAGCTGCAAAATTGTTTTTTTTTTAATTTCTACATAATAAGGTGCTAAAATAGATGAGGTTTAGATAAGCAAGTAAAAAACCTGGGCACAAAACTTAAAGTCAACCTAAATGATTCCTTGTCAGAGTTCAATTTCCTTTAAAACTTTGCACCACCCAATCCCATCCACGTTGTCACAATGTACACAATCTCAAATTTGTCCATCACGCCAATTTCATTTATTTATTCCCCAAAGAAAGTTCACACGATCAGAAAAGAAAAACAAACGAGAGAATTTATTGCATCGATGGTGTGTCATGTGACGTGAATGAAGAGATGTTGGGGGGTGATTGCAGCCGATTAAATTCTCTGATAGGATCCTTTTTGTACAAAACATTTGTCAGAACCCACTTTCGCTTCACAAATTCTTGCTTTGTGAATCGTTCTTTTTTGTTTCGCGAACTGATCCACTTCTCAAAGACACGTTTGAGACACGCGTACTAACTCAAAATAGACTTTCTATATTTTGAGAGGAAGTAGTTTCTTTCATCTTCTTAAATATCGTTTTTCGCCCAATTCCAAATCCAATCTAGAGTTTTGTATAGCATAGATTAGCAATAAGTTTTCTTTCTGGTTTCTCCTTTCATCTACATTCTATAGAAAAACAATTTAGCGATGCGAAAACTTTTGGTGGCGATGATGTTGATGGTGACTGTGACTGTTGCTCTTTCGTCGAGCAATTCGGACGAAATTCCCGCAGAGCGCACATGCTACGTTACGAGTTACCATTACGGCGCAAATTGGACCAAGCCGGAGTATGGAGGACCGGACGAGAGAAGTTGTTCCAAAAACAAACCGCATTGTGTCACGTTCACGTTTAAATCGGGGAAAGTGTCCTATGGATGCTGGCATTGCCCGGTAACCCTTTGGCTATAAACGTTGAGAGAGTTGTTTGTGTTTAGAAGGTTGGTGCAAACTTCTACGAGGGAATCGGCACTGCAGATTGTTGTGACACGGATAGCTGCAACAAGCCGAAGCCTTTCAATTGTCACCTTAGGGTGGGTTTATTTGGAAATTTTGTTTGTTTGTTGTTTCAAAAAGCTGTGAAATGCTCGATTCAGGAAAGCGAAAATGACGAATCGGACAAATGTGAAGCGGACGGAGTGGAGTCTTTTTGCGCGGGTTACTACGACGACTACTCTGTTGGGAAATGCACAAATGAGTGTAAGGTAGGCGCTTTCTGCGTGTGGGAATTTGCAAATTCTGCATTTAGAATCAAAAGCTGAACGTGCGAATTGAGGGTGGACGGGACGCAGAGGGCAGGGATCGACCGATGATGTGTTGCGATACGGAGATGTGCAATATGGTAAGGGATTTGGTAGATAAAACAGCGTAAACATTCCAATAGAAGAGCTCCTTCTAAACGAAGTTTTTCATTTTGCCGGTTTTCCAACTTTTGGATAAGAAAATTTTGATGGATTTTCATCCGCTTTAACTTTTTAAATTGTTTACATTTTCAAATTTCAAATTTAATTTTTAAATTGACGGTGTTGATGATGGAAGGATTTAAAGATTCTCGAATGCTTTCAAATAATAGTGATAGGCTAGAAGACTTGATTACATCGGAAAGCGGATGAAAATCCATCAAAAACATTCACTTTTGAGGAGCTCTTGAATATCAGGGGATCCTGCATCTGGGCACAAAATAGAATGGAGGAAAAATAGGCAGATTGGGTCTTCTGTTAAATATAATTTTTCACCATTTGTACTTATCAAGATTTTCAAAAGCCATTCAAGTTGCCACTATGATCTGTTTTTTGTCCTTTAGCCGCAGCCGAAGTCAACGCAGTCACCCGAGGACCGCAAGGTTGAATCGGGCGGTGCCTCCACGTTGAAGCCATGGCTATTGACGGTCTTGATGATGGGATTCGTGTTGCTCGTCTCTTCCTCTCTCCCTCCTCTCTTCTTTGTCTCCTTCTGACGAGACAACATCTCTTCATTCACGTCACATGACACACCATCGATCCCATAAATTCTCTCGTTTGTTTCTCTTTTCTGATCATGTGAACCTTTTTTGGTGAATAAATAAATGAAATTGGCGTGATGGGCAAATTTGAGATGGTGTACATTGTGACAACGTGGATGGGATTGGGTGGTGCAAAGTTCTAAAGCAAATTGAATTCTGACAAGGAATCATTTAGGTTGACTTCAAGTTTTGTGCCCAAATTTTTTACTTAATTACCTAAACCTCATCTATTTTAGCACCTTATCATGTAGACATTAAAAAAAACAATTTTGCAGCTCGTGCAGTACGAAAAAATTTTAGGCCAAGCCAAGTCGGGCCAAAAGCCAAGCCGTCTTTCCCTTTGTAGGTGCAGCGTTAACCATTAAAAATTTTGTCTCCTGCATTCAGCTATGTGCTCACCAGTTCACTATTTAGATAAATAGATGAAATTAGAGTTGAAAGACTTAAAAGCCACCGATTGTGAGCTGAATTCAACATCAATTACACAGTTTTTCTATAAGCCACATGTTTAAATGTGGTTACTTTCAATTTTTAAATCGATTCAGGCCCTTCAGGTCGTCAAAACAGTGATTCAGGCTCGGGCCTTCAAAAGTTTCGATTCCAGCCCTTCAAGTCGTCGAAACAGTCATTCTTGTCCTTCCGGCCGTCTAAACAGTGATTCAGGCCGCTGGGGCCTTCAAAAACTTCGATTCTGCCCGTCAAAACAGTCATTTCTGCCCGTTGGGCCGTCAAAACTTTGGCTTTGGCACTTCGGCATCGTCGCTCTATTCGTTCTTCCCATTTCCCCTAATTCAAAGCGAAATAACCAATTGATCAGAATGGGTGTGATGGCCATCAGTCTATTCATCACGACTCTCCTCCTTTTCTATCAAATTTCTTCGTCGATTCAACAAAGCGATAAATTGGATCAATTCACGTATTCTTTTCCCTTCAAATAGCCATATTTTCAACCCTTCAGATCTCCGAATGATCGAGATGAAATTCTGTCTCGTGATCGTCGTACTTTGAAGTAAGTCAGAAAGAGATTATGGAGGTTTGTGGTTTCAAGAAATAAATGGATTTCCATCTTGTTACTGGCTTGAGTTAAGTTTTTAGCGTAAAATGAACTTATGCAGTGGTGTACTATAAAAATTAGCAATTCCTTTACTTTTGCTAAATTACAAAATTTAATTTTAGGGATATTCATTTTGATTTCCAAGGCGCCGAAGTGGCTGAATGTAGTGAGAATGGCCTTCCAATGAAGGTTAATATAAACTTTGTATAAACAATAAAGGTTTTTTTAGGTAAAACAGATCTATTACTGGCCTGGCGATAATATTTCTTTCACGTGCAATGTTTGTCAGCCGTTAGTTTCGACTGGATAGGATCTAAATAAAATGTTCTGTTCGAATTTTAGAGGTCTCGATTCAAATGGGAAGATCAAAATGTGGGGTTGGGCCGCAAAAGTGTACGACTTTTTCGATCATTACCAGAAGAATAAGGTACAATTCTTTTCGATTTTCTGCTATTGTTGCCACATTTAGAAGTTGCAACACGCGGATGTTGGCGTGCAATTTCTACTACTCAACTCCGAGATCAATACAAGCCCGAACGAAATCTATGGATCAGAGGATTCTGATCCGTCTAACATGCCCGGAAATCGGTGCGTTTCTTGTTTTTGTTAAAACATAAGGTATTTATTGCCTTGTTTGTTTAAAAAAAATTTGTTTTTTTAGAGATCAGGCCACAGAGCACGGATTTTTGCCCCATATCCGACGACAAACGTTCGAGCAAATTGGAAAAACTTTACAAATTCATAATGTAAGTTTATGTGTGGTTTAGCCGTAAGTTTGTCTTGATTTTTAGTCTGAAGCAAGGGCGGCTGGTGTGTATTTTTGCTACGACGACACTGCGTTGCATTTGGTATACTTTCACAGCGGCAATTAAACTTTTACCCTTAAACTTTTGTTTAGGTCCGTTATTTCTATATTCTTCACGCAATGACGCCGATCAATCGAGTCAATTGCTTGGATGATGCCAATTTGAAGAATCGTGTTCCACTTAGTCCGGATATGGGTCAATTTTAACAATTCTTTCTAAACTTACACATTTTAGGCAAAATGGTCAGTGAATCGTCTGATAAAAAGGCTTCATTACCGCCTTCATTTCAATGTGGCAATGATTGCGGGAAACCGATTTATGTAAGTGATTAAGAATATTAAAGTAAATTTTATGGAATTAAGTGCCCGATTTTCCATTCAGCCACACTGAATATTAGCGCACCCTATTAAAATCTAGATGTACCCGGATACTCAATGGAAATTCAACTGGCATCCCATGATCTATAAACGCGAAAATGAGGCTATCTGTGATAGCGGTGATCTTGAGTGCGAACAATATTTGGCAATCCATTTCTTTTTAAGTGCATTCAAGGTAATTTTAGAAACTTCACCCCGACACCGACGACTTAGTGATACGAAAAGTGCCGGAGACGCCGATACATCTGCATGTTCTCAAACGATCGTTCAACGATGCTAGTTTTTTTTCAAATTTTAATGAAGATAGCTAATTAAATACCTTAAATTTCACATTTTTAGAATTAATATTTACGTTTTAGAAAAGATTTTACACGTATGTGGCGTTGGCTTTTCGATGGGAGCCATGGAGTAGATGCGATTCGGGAAGAACACATCAACACCGAGAGGGTGGGGGTGTTTCGATGAATTTTAAAAGTTTAAAATTATTTAGGACACTGTGTTTTGCAGCTCGTCGATGGTAAAGAGAAAACGAACTCGCAAAATACTCTTCTTGAAGTATCGAGGTACCTTTTACTGAGTTTTAAGCTGACTTAAGAAAAGTGGTTTAGGTGGATGTCCCGATTGGATAGCATTTTCGGGCTTTCTGGAGGAAAAGAAACGGCATTTTTGAGATTGCAAAGGTAAGAATTGTTTGCGAAAATTCATACTTAAAATGGGTAAACGGCGTTTTAGTTCAACTGTGATGACGATGATCATGGATCAACCAGTGAAGACCGATTGGGGACCGAGAGAACGATCGGGGAGTGTTCGTAAGATTGACAATTTTTATGAACAAGTTTGTTTTACCTACTTGAATAGCCTGTTCATCAGTTCGACTCAAGCCTTTGTCTCAATTTCTCTTTAGGTAATCTTTCCCTCATTGGACATCCCCGGAGAACAATTCAACCGAAAGAAATTCACCTTGAAAAACGAGTGGAGGGCTTGTTTTAAGTGAGAATTCTGAGATTATTCTAACTTTGATTCACAAGATTTCTTTTGGAATTGAGCTTGCGATAAAATAAGAGATGATGGAGCTGTTAAAAAAATCTCTTTTAGATACAAACACTCGGGAGAAAAGGAGGGAAATGGATCGTATTCGGATATTGTTGGCACCTATGTGATCGAAACAAAGATGTGCCCCTAAAATGTACTTATTACTGTATATCAATATTTGTTTCATGGAATTCATGAAACTCTGTCTTTGGTTTTCTTTGTTTGTCGTGGTCAATAAATGTCTCAAAACAGCCTGTAATACAACAAGAAGCTAACCTTACAGTACTCTGGATCTCGTTCACTCAACTTTCCACTTTGCTTAGCATGCTTGTAGATGTTCGAATCGCAATGATATGCGCGAGGGGTGAGCTTAACGAGTGAATGAGGCGGACAGTGCAAATAAGGCAACTCCATCAACGGTCGATCCTAGATATAACCGAGAATACAGCGCAAGATTACTTGATGCCCAACGACCAGTACATCGGTCTGAAAACTCACATTTGTACCCTTTTTAAAATCCTTGTCTTTCCAAATTCATGATCACCGGCTCCAATCTGGAGACCACGTCTTCGTAACTTTTACCTTATGGGTACCGAGAGTGGTGCTTGTCACGGGCTCTATCTTCGGACTGTCTTGGATATCTGAATGGAGTAGTTGGCTAGGCGCTATCATTCACCGCTTTTCACTTACCCTTCTGCTATATGTGTCTGCATAGGTGAGTCTCTTGCAAATCCTGGCATCGATCTCATCCAAAGCTTTCCAGTACTCAGCGTATGCCCCTGCTGAGGCAACCTCGCGAGCTGTTTGCGCTGCTAGAAGCTGTAAATTAAAAGTCACCTTCACTTTTGATTCTAAATGCAGAATTTCCAAAGTCCCACACGCAAAAAGCGCCCCCGTTGCACTCAGTCGTGCTCTTTCCAACGGAGTAGTCCTCATAGTAGCCCGCGCAAAAGCCTGCGCTTCACATTTGTCCGATTTATCATTTTCCGTTTCCTGAAAAAGCCGCTGTTTTTGTTTTTTTTTGTTGCTTGAAACTGTCACTATCGAAGGCTCTTCATCCTTTCTTGAGAGAATAAGCGTTTCTTTTTCCAAAAAAGAATTCCTGATGCGATTGAGTCGTTAACTCATTGTTTGCCGACTCAAATTCCTTAATCGAAATCAACTGATGACTAAACGAATCGTGCTTTCCCCTCCTTTCCCTTTATTGCCCAACAAATTTCTTGTCTAGCGTTGTCTTCTCTACTCAATCTTTGATGAATTAGAGTTTGAATCACAACAACAAGCTGAAACTGTGACTGATAAACATTTTTTGTGTTTCGAAATGAAGTGAAATGTTTGTGTGTTATCAGAAGAATAGATAAAATAGAATTTATTGGTTTTTGTTCACAGAAAGGAACACAAAGAATTATCAGAATTGAGAGCTTCTTTTGCAGATAAAAGGGACGGATAAACCCCATGGAAAAAAGACCGACCATTTCCCATCGCCGCCCCAAAGCTGAAATGTGTCCATTTCTGATCGAAATCCTTTGAGAACACCCTTTGCGTGATTTTACATGACATACATTTTACATACATTTTACGTTCATGAAATCTTCTTCAAATCGACAAACAATCTAGATATTTCATTTCGAAGAATGGATTGTTTACGAGAGAAATGGAGAAAATTGAATTTGAAAGATCTTCACAAACCTTGAGCGATGATTCACCAAGGACGAAACTTTGCTTTGAATGGACCCTTGTTTCTGGAGAAGTTACAACTATTTATATTTTTGATTATATGGTAAAAATTAATGGAAAGCAAGTGGGATTGTAGTGAAGTCTATTTGTGAACTTTTGAATCAAATACCATATTGTCGGGATGTTACAATGGAACTGACACATCAAACTGGAGCCGTGCTTCTCAAAAAAATGGAAAAGCTTTTTGAGATCACGAAATTTTTCCCAAAAATCACCAATCTCTACAGTTTCGATTTTTCTGAAGATTTCCCAACAGCAAAGGTTTTATTTGAAAATCTCCATTTGAAAATCGAAATTTACATTCGAATTTGGAATTACGAGAGTGATTTTGACCCCGACGATTTTGAGGATCTCTTTCAAAAAGTCTCCTTTAATTCCTGTAAAACATTGCTTTTTGAAAATGCGTCGAAATTTTCGCTTTTTGAATAATATAACAAATGAATTTTTGAAGAAGAAATGAATTTTTGAAGGAGAAATGAATTACTTGCTTCGAACTGATTTTGCATCAAAAGAGACACAAAAATTGATTTGTCTTCAAAGCCGAAAACTTCCACATTCCTATCTTTCAGAACAATTCAGTACTGATTGTTTTGCGAAACTTTTAGAAAAGATTGAAATTGGATGTCATTTCGAAAGATTAGAAGATGACAGTGATCTGGCGAGCTCTTTCCTCAATTCTTTGCGAATTCAATTTAATAAAGAACCATTCTACTAGCTGAAATATTCTTTTAATATTATGGAAGAATCATAACAAGCTGGAAGAGCCTTTTTTAAAAGAAGACTTTCATGTGGAAAATCAACGATCGCTCGTTTTAATTTTACTGCCGTGATTTACCGCAGAGCATGGTATTTACGGAAAACGTCCATCATTACGGTGATTGAAAATTAAATTTCAAATTGCTTGAATAAATTGATTTCATAATTTTAGTTTATTATATTCAGAACTAAAGCAGATTATCTATCTAGGATCAGATCAGAGCTCAGGCTCAGAAAGCCAAGTTCCTGGCAAAATATGAAGCAGACTGACCCAGTTTATAGTTAATACACCACAGGGTAATAGCTAAAATCATAAAGAGGATCAGGGTCAAAAAAATTCAAATCTCTTAAAGCTGGAGGGCTAATAGAGCTCAACTTACTAATTACCATGAGTTTGGTGTTTTTCTCAAAATGCGGTGCAGTTCGATGCAAGCAAAAAAGATCTACGGCCTTCAGTAGATCTACGGCTCTCAGAACTGGTTTTGAGCCCAGAAATTTAATTCACTCAGTTCGAAACCGCAACTCTCTGAGCTTAGACCCCGTAATAAAAGAAAAATTTGAACAGTTCTGGACTCAGTGAAAGGTTGTCCACACCTGCGGTGTAGTGATCCAAAAATAGTGCTCCAGCCAAATGGCACGTTCGAAAAAATAGTGCCCCGGGGCGCTATTAGAGGAAAGACGGTATTTGGATGTAACGCTTCTTTTTCATTCCTGACAAATTGGAACATCAACTTGATCCTGTTATCTTTGGTTATTTGCTAAACTTGTCAACCTACTTTTTCTATGCAGCAATTGTGTTTTTCTGGCTATTCGTCGCTTTACACGTTGCTTAAGCAGCCGTTTCAAAAAACGGTTTTTTTTGTAGGTAGCAAAACAACATTGAATGTAAGATAATGCACAGCTTTTATTATTTATTCCCTGTTTTTATCCAGTACCCGGTGGGGCGTCGAATCCAAGCAGCAAATCGACATTACAATCATGAACAACAATTGAACGTTCGTATTTCTGAAGCTAACTTAGAAATGGAGATGTTGTACATGTGTCCAGACACGATGAAAAGTACAAAAGTACAAAAGTTCCTGAAAATTTGCTTTATTTGACAAAAACATTCAAAATGAGCCCATCTGTGATAGCGGTGATCTTGAGTGCGAACAATATCTGGTACGCCATTCCTTTTTAAGTGCATTCAAGGTAATTTTAGAAACTTCACCCCGACACCGATGACTTAGTGATACGAAAAGTGCCGGAGACGCCGATACATCGTGGTCAATAAATGTTCTTTGTACACAAGTTCTTGAAAATTTGCTTTATTTGGCAAAAACATTCATCCCAGCCAGTGCTGTTCCTAGGCCCGAAATTTCAGGCCAAGCCAAATCCAAACGTTGGCTTGGCCTAAAAATTTTTTCGTGCTGCACGAGCTGCAAAATTCTTTTTTCTTAATGTCTACATGATAAGGTGCTAAAATAGATGAGGTTTAGATAAGGAAGTAAAAAACTTGGGCACAAAACTTAAAGTCAACCTAAATGATTCCTTGTCAGAGTTCAATTTCCTCTAGAACTTTGCACTACCATTTTAGGTGCACTGTTTTATTTCGATCACATAGGTGCCAACAATATCCGAATACGATCCATCACTTCCCTCATTTTCTCCCGAGTGTTTGTATCTAAAAGAGATTTTTTTAACAGCTCAATCATCTCTTATTTTATCGCAAGCTCAATTCCAAAAGAAACCTCGTAAATCAAAGTTAGAATAATCTCAGAATTCTCACTTAAAACAAGCCCTCCACTCGTTTTTCAATGTGAATTTTTTTCGGTTGAATTGTTCGCCCGGGATGTCCAACGACGGAAAGATTACCTAAAGAGAAATTGAGGCAAAGGCTTGAGTCGAACTTATGAACAGGCTATTCAAGTAGGTAAAACAAACTTGTTCATAAAAATTGTCAATCTTTCGAACACTCCCCGATCGTTCTCTCGGCCCCCAATCGGTCTTCACTGGTCATCGTCATCACAGTTGAACTAAAAGGCAGTTTACCCATTTTATTTAATATCCTTAATCACTTACATAAATCGGTTTCCCGCAATCATTGCCACATTGAAATGGAGGCGGTATTGAAGCCTTTTTGTCAGGCGATTCACTGACCATTTTGCCTAAAATGTGTAAGTTTAGAAAGAATTGTTAAAATTGACCCATATCCGGACTAAGTGGAACACGATTCTTCAAATTGGCATCATCCATCCAATTGACTCGATTGATCGGCGTCATTGCGTGAAGAATATAGAAATAACGGACCTAAACATGGGTAAAAGTTTAATTGCCGCTGTGAAAGTATACCAAATGCAACGCGGTGTCATCGTAGCAAAAATACACACCAGCCGCCCTTGCTTCAGCCTAAAAAAAATCAGATAAACTTACAACTAAAGACATAAACTTGCATTATGAATGTGCAAAGTTTTTCCAATTTGTTCGAACGTTTGGCGTCGGATATGGGGCAAAAATCCGTGCTCTGTGGTCTGACCTCTAAAAAAACAAATTTTTTTAAACAAACAAGGCAATAAACAACTTATGTTTTAACGAAAACAAGAAACGCACCGATTTCCGGGCATGTAAGACGGATCACAATTCTCTGATCCATAGAATTCGTTCGGCCTTGCATTGATCTCGGAGTCGAGTTGTAAAAATTGCATCCCAATATCCGCGTGTTGCAACTTCTAAATGTGGCAACAATAGCAGAAAATCGAAAAGAATTGAAGAATTTTACCTTATTCTTCTGGTAATGATCGAAAAAGCCGTATACTTTTGCGACCCAACCCCACGTTTCTTCCCATTTGAATCGAGACCTCTAAAATTCGAACAGAATGTTATATTTAGATCCTATGGACAAATCTAACCGTTGATAGAATTTGCACGTGAAAGAAATATTATCGCCAGGCCAGTAATAGATGTGTTTTACCTAAAGAAACCTTTATTGTTTATACAACGTTTATATTAACCTTCATTGGAAGGCCATTCTCGCTACATTCAGCCACTTCGGCCCATTTGAAACCAAAGGGTTACCGGGCAACGCCAGCATCCGTACGACACTTTCCCCGATTTAAACGTCAACGTGACACAATGCGGTTTGTTTTCGGAACAACTTCTCTCGTGCGGTTCTCTATGCTCCGACTGGGTCCAATTCACGTAGTAATGGTGACTCGTAACGTAGCATGTGCGCTTTGTGGGAATTTCGTCCAAATTGCTCGACCAAAGGACAACAGTCACAGTCACCAGTCACAGTCGCCTAACAAAACATCAGAAGCCGATTATTCGCACAGCTCTGATATAAATTTAATTAGTTGGTAGATAGCATCTCCATCCTGTTTCGTTATGACCAAGCTTCTTTAGCGTCTGAATTTTCATTCTCGCTAATCGAATTCGATCCTCGGCTGGCAGTAGTCGCATCAACCTTTCTGACACCTTATCCACGTCATCGAGTAGACTTTTCCCATAAGCATTTTCATAGGATTTAACCTCAAAGTAACAGTTTTTTCTTTTGGATGGTTCTTTAGTAGTGAGAACATATCATTGAATGTGCACTTGTCAATCGAATCGGCAAAAAGTTTCCCTTGTTTCTTGTTCAAGTATAGTTGAGGTGCATTGACTCCATGTAGCTCATAGATTTCAGTGAATGCTTGGAAATTTGTCTTGATCAGCCGCACAAGAAAAGATGGATACGAATGAATGTAAACTTGATGATTAAAGCGTTTCTGGGGGTCATACGGCGATGGATCGCTCATTCTCAAATACCAGATCATCAAGGTGGAAGATTTTTGAGATAATACATTGCGTTCACGAATCGCGAAAACGAGCCGATGCTTTGTGATCGTTTCCATAATGAAAGGTTCCGAGCAAGTGGTTAGGAGAACCTTAGCTCGAGCTATGTCACGAGTGTGTTAAAGCAGAAAAAAAAGCAGAATTTTTTCATAAAAGTGTCCCGAGGATTCTCAGATCGAATTTTAGACAAATTGCCAGCAAAAACGATGAATTGAGGTTACAGATAAAGTTCTCGAGAAAAATCCGGGCTCTTGTGAGATACTCTGTAAATTAGTGCAAACCAGGACTCTACGGATTAACTAAATTATCCGAGTTTCAAATTCGAACTTTCTCCAGTTAAAATTCTACCCACGGCGCCTACCAAAACATCAGAAGCCGAATATTCGCACAGTTCTGATATAAATTTAATCAAGAAGTGATTTGGTCAAAAAAATTCTGAATAAGGCCAGAGTAGCAAAACAAAAAGCTAGAAACTCCTGGGGCTTCTTTCACAGGCAATATGTTACTGGATTTTCATTACTGACGGTCTGTATTATTTTGTCCAATTATCAGATTTAAGATTTCCGTTGTCTGTAAGTGATAAACTTAACATTTATTGAACACATTACGATTAGCTTAAAAGCTCATCGGCTGTCATTGAAAGAGCCAACGACAAGTCAAAGATTTCTGGCCCGGCGAGCCGTTTGCAGATACATCTCTTGCTTCCTTGAATGAATGCCAGCATGCATTCTTCGTAACAACCAGTTTTGATGGAAAAGTTGCGAAGTGTGAGTAAAGCTGCATCAAAATTGATTGACACTTCCTGAAATTCAATTGAACCCAAATACAGCCGTTGAACCTTGTTAATGACCATCGAAGGGGTTCGGAAAATTGAAGTCGCTTTACTAACTAACCTTCGATGGAACCTCGGAAAACCCTGGCGTAACCAGAACCGGTTTTTGTTCAGACAACTTTAAATCTTGAAGCTTAAAAACTTCTTTAGTAAATTTTCTAAAAATATCAAGCTAACATTTTATTTCAATGGTTTTAAGGGTAAGGCGACAAACTACCTTTCTGCTGTTACCACTTACCATGGGAAACTCTTTTTTTATTAACCTGTTTTTCGGGGCTGGTACTCGACGAAAGGGCAACAGTCACAGTCACAGTCACCATCAACATCATCGCCACCAAAAGTTTTCGCATCGCTAAATTGTTTTTCTATAGAATGTAGATGAAAGGAGAAACAAGAAAGGAAATTATTGCTCATCTATGCTATACAAAACTCTAGATGATTTGAAAGTGAAAAACGAAAGGAAATAAAGACTTTTATCTCATTGATTGAAAAACGATATTGAAGAGGAAGAAATTAATTCCGCTCAAAATATAGAAAATCTATTTTGAGTTAGTACGCGCGTCTTAAACACGTCTAGAAATTAATTCAGCTCAAAATATAGAAAGTCTATTTTGAGTTAGTACGCGTGTCTCAAACGCGTCTCCGAGAAATCACGAGAATTGACGAATGAACGGATATCCGAGATCCCAAACCGATCCAAAAGTATTGCCATCATCGTTAAAGATCGCAAAGAAACACTTGAAAGTTCAACTCTTGCGTTGACCGCATGTATTTCTGATTTTGTTCAAAACCATTTCAAGCCCCAAATCCCTAAATCAGCCCTAAATGTGGAGCCCTAAATCATAGGATGATCCAAGGGAAAATTCCCAAGACAAGAGGCCAGGTTTAGAGCTAACTTTTGCTTGGTTTAGAGGTTTAAGTGTCGCAACTTTTACATACCTTCTGACCTGGAATAATTAAAAAAAGTTGCGTGGGCCAACCAAGCTAGAAGACCTATAGGACATGTTGGGGCATATTGAAGCTCGAGCTATTCGAGCCATACTCGAGCTCAGATTTCAGCTCACTTTCCGACATCATATTGACCCATGAAATTTGATGGATCCACTGTGTAATCATTTCCTCCAATCGTGATGACAAGGTTTGGCACATCTTTCCCGGAAGATCGATCACATAAAGGGCAAAGAAGGTCTTCCTCCTCCTTTCCTTTATTTTCCAAAAACAATTTCTTGTGACTGAAAAACGTTTATTTGCGAGAAGTGAAATGTTTGTTTTCAGAAGAATAGATAAAATGCAATTTATTGGTTTTTGTCCACAGAAAGGAACACGAAGAATTATCAGAATTGAGAGCTTCTTTTGCAGATAAAACTGGCGAATTGATCCCATGGAAGAAAGAGCGACCATTTCCCATTCATGCTCCAAAGCTGAAATGTGTTCATTTCTGATGGAAATCCTTTGAGAACATATTCTGCGTGATTTTACACAAAAAATTTCCTTAGATTGATAGAAGCATTTTCGGATTAATTGTGCATTGGAAATTCAAATCGATATCGATGCTTTCATGTTGAAAATTTCACCATAGCATTAGTGTCGAAATCCGGATCTCCCCATATCCAATTCGTGAAATCCAGCGCACTTCCATCCGTCCATTCCAAAGAATATTCGTTGTTCGGATTGCGCTGAATAAAGAAATTTTCATGTTTTCGACGTTGACATTTAAACAGATTCTCCTTTTTTCGCACCTACAAAGGGAAAGGGGACGAGAGTTCTATTTTGAATTTGAATAAATTTGAAATGAAAAAGCGGTCCTATAAATGGCGAAATTTGGTATATGATTTAAAAGCAGAAAAATGCGGTCAACACAAGCCTTGCAATTTCAGGTGATTCTTCGCGATCTTTTACGATGATGGCAATACTTTTGGATCGGTTTGGGATCTCGGATATCCGTTCATTCGTCAATTCTGTCGTGTCTTGTCCTGCAACAGAAGAGAATCGATTTTGCAAAGGCTTTATCTGAATCAAGTCAAGTCAAGTCAAAAAATATTATCTAAAGCTGCAAAAAGACTCAACTCTCAGCAAATCTACATTTTGCTCTTTTCGATCAAAAAATTCAACATTTACCCACATCCGTAAAAAGAAATACACTCTATAAAAGAATTATAGACGCACCCTGTTTTTCGCTTGTTTAGAGCCGGATATAAGTTTTAGTCCAGTGAAAAGTATTTTTTTTAGTTTCTTTAATGTGAGAAAAAAAAAAATCCATGCAAAATTTAAAGGCGTTTCACTCATCCAAAGTACTTTATCGTACAAAAAACGTTTTATCAGCTGTCAAAAAATTATAGACGCACTTTTATTTTATCAAGAAAAAGTTAACAGAAATAAAAATAACAACACGAACCAAATAATTTAATAATGTATGGCCCCTCCTTCTTTTAATCCAACTCCAAAAAGACGTCTCGGCATCGAAGAGACAAGGTCATGGAGCGCTGTTTCGGTTGTAGACATCTGGAACCACTGTCCCCCACACATTTTCAATGGGGTTCAAGTCGGGGCTGCAAGTAGCCCGAGTGAGTGTCGATTTTCCGTTTTGTCAGCCAATCTCCTGTGGAGCAACTTGCATGAATACTCGCGTTATCGTGCATAAAAATAAAGTTATTGCCCGGATTATTGTTCAGATAGACGGCTAGATGTTTGTCCAACACCTGTTGATAGTCAAGCGATGTCATCCGGGTCGAAATAAACTCTAAGCCGACCAGCTCACCGTTTCGAAAGGCTCCCCATACTTTACATGATCCACCTCCAAAGTTCCTCGTGCTGAAGACCAGGCCCGGCTTTCGTGAATCCATCCGATATCTTCGAAAACCATCAGCACCATCAAGGTTGACCTTCTTTTCGTCGCTCCAAATGATCTAAAATGATCTAAAATAGAATTATGAGTACCATAGGTCACTTTTGTGTTTTGTGCTCAACCCGTCCACCCCCATGTTGCACCTTCACTTTTGATTCTAAATGCAGAATTTCCAACACGTCCCACACGCAAAAAGCGCCTCCCTTGCACTCAGTCGTGCTCTTTCCCACGGAGTGGTTCTCATAGTAGCCCGCGCAAAGCCTCCGCTTCACATTTGTCCGATTCATCATTTTCCGTTTCCTGAAAAAGCCGGTGTTTTTGTTTTTTTGTTGCTTGAAACTGTCACTATCGAAGGCTCTCCATCTTTTCTTGAGAGAATAAGCGTTTCTTTTTCCAAAAAAGAATTCCTGATGCGTTTGAGTCGTTAACTCATTGTTTGCCGACGGAAATTCCTTAATCGAAATCAACTGATGACTAAACGAATCGGGCTTTCCCCTCCTTTCCCTTTATTGCCCAACAAATTTCTTGTCTAGCGTTGTCTTCTCTACTCAATCTTTGATGAATTAGAGTTTGAATCACAACAACAAGCTGAAACTGTGACTGAATAACATTTTTTGTATTTCGAAATGAATTGAAATGTCTGTGTGTTTTCAGATTTTTTTCAAATTTCCTTAGATTGATGGAATTTTTTTCAAATTTCCTTAGATTTTTGGAATCCTCTGATCCATAGAATTCGTTCGGCCTTGTATTGATCTCGGAGTTGAGTTGTAAAAATTGCATCCCAATATCCGCGTGTTGCAACTTCTAAATGTGGCAACAATAGCAAAAAATCGAAAAGAATTCAAGAATTGTACCTTATTTTTCTGGTAATGATCGAAAAAGCCGTACACTTTTGCGGCCCAACCCCACATTTTGATCTTCCTATTTGAGGGAAAATCTCTAAAATTCGGACAGAACATTTATTTAGATCCTATACAGTCGAAACTAACGGCTGACAAACATTGCACGTGAAAGAAATATTATCGCCAGGCCAGTAATATATCTGTTTTACCTAAAAAAACCTTTATTGTTTATACAAAGTTTATATTAACCTTCATTGGAAGGCCATTCTCGCTACATTCAGCCACTTCGGCGCCTAAAATGAAAAATTCTTAAATTTTGTAATTTTTAATTTGTTTCCGCTATTATCCGCTTTCTTTTGATTACAACGCTGAAAAGTTTATTTTTAGAAGCATTGAAAGCTAAAATTTACATTTACTAAAATTTACATTCAAAATTTACATTCGTTTAAATTTCACAATTCGAAAATTTTTTTAATCATTTTATCATGATGATGCCCGTTCAGCGCCTCAACTCTCTATTTGTATTGGTACTTTTTAATGTTGTTTTTTGTAAAATAAACTTCATTATCTTTTTAAACATTTCTTTGTTTTAGTTGGCAATTCTCTTGTCGTTTCGAGGACTTTTCGTCGACGCGAGAAAAGACGGTAATCAGACGACGAAATTGGTATATTGTTATGCGTTTTTAACTTTGGAACACGGATCTCCTTTCGAATTGATCAGCTTGTGGGGGAGGAGGGATCACTTTTAGTTTGACTTTGTCAAACCCAATGTTTTGAATGATTGTATTTTTCCTTTGTTCTGAAAAAATCGAAGCCTGCTAAGCTAGTTCATACTATTTTAAGAGTATTCCCAGCATGTTTCAATTTCAATTTCTATTTGATTTCCAAATGTGAGCATGCTGGGTGGTGAGTGCAACAAGTTGGCAAATCATCGAATAGATGTATCCAAAAGGTGTTGAAACGGTTACCAATCGATTCAGCCCATTTGATTTCCCTAGAGGAAAGAAAATAGGATGAATCGATTGGTAACCGTTTCAATACCTTTTGGATACATCTATTCGATGATTTGCCAACTTGTTGCACTCACCACCCAGCATTATGTCGTTGCTCACATTTGGAAATCAAATAGAAATAGAAATAGAAATTGAAACATGCTGGGAATGCTCTTAACTTAGCTCCGTGCTAGCTTAGCAGGCTTAGATTTTTTCTAAAACTAAAAGTGCCCCCCCCCCCACAAGCCCTTAGTACTAATTTAGCCAACTACTACGCCAGCGATTCGCGAGGGAGACAAAAAATTACATCAACTGAACAAGCCGAAAGGAGATCCGTTGCCTTTGGTGGGTAGCTTATTGTCGTTTTTTCGTACGTAGAATAACTTGAAATTCAATGTTTATGTTTAATTTTTAGCTTCCTTTGCCTGATGGAAAATCGTGGACCAACACGTGGACCAACACCGACACGAGAACATCGTTTCGATTGTGGAGGTTTGTGGGTTGAAGAAATAAATGGATTTCCAGCTTGTTACTTGTTTGAGTTATGTTTTTAGCGTAAAATAAACTTATGCATTAGTACTATAACAATTATCAATGCCTTTACTTCTGCTAAATTACAAAATTTAAGAACTTTTCATTTTAGGTATGTTCATCATCGTTTCACAGGCGCCGAAGTGGCTGAATGTAACGAGAATGGCCTTCCAATGAAGGTTAATATAAACTTTGTATAAACAATAAAGGTTTCTTTAGGTGAAACACATCTATTACTGGCCTGGCGACCATATTTCTTTCACGTGCAAAGTTTGTCAACGGTTAGTTTCGTCCATAGGATCTAAACAAAATGTTCTATTCGAATTTTAGAGGTCTCGATTCAAATGGGAAGATCAAAATGTGGGGTTGGGCCGCAAAAGTGTACGACTTCTTCGATCATTACCAGAAGAATAAGGTACAATTCTTTTCGATTTTCTGCTATTGTTGCCACATTTAGAAGTTGCAACACGCGGATGTTGGCGTGCAATTTTTGCGACTCAACTCCGAGATCAATAGAAGCCCGAACGAATTCTATGGACCAGAGGACTCTGATCCGTCTTACATGCCCGGAAATCGGTGCGTTTCTTGTTTTTGTGAAAACATAAGTTGTTTATTGTCTTGTTTGTTTTAAAAAATTTGTTTTTTTAGAGATCAGTCTAGAGAGCGCGGATTTTTGCCCCATATGCGACGACAAACCTTCGAACAAATTGGAAAAACTTTACATATTCATAATGTAAGTTTATGTCTTTAGTTGTAAGTTTATCTGATTTTTTTAGGCTGAAGCAAAGGCGGCTGGTGTGTATTTTTGCTACGATGACACCGCGATCAAATTGGTATACTTTCACAGCGGCAAAGAAATTTTTACCCATGTTTAGGTCCGCTATTTCTATATTCTCCACGCAATGACGCCGATCAATCGAGTCAATTGGATGGATGATGCTAATTTGAAGAATCGTTCTCAGCTGAGTCCGGATATGGGTCAGTTTTAACAATTCTTTCTAAACTTGCAGATTTTAGGCAAAATGGTCTGTGAATCTGTGGGCAAAAAGGGTTTATTACCGCCTCCATATCAATGTGGCAATGACTGCGGGAAACCGATTTATGTGAGTGATTAAGGAAATTTAAATTAAGGAAATTAATTAAGGAATTTAATTAAGGAGATTAAAGTAAATTTTATGGAAGTAAATGCCAGTTTTTCCATTCCGCGACACTCAATATTACTAATTAACATTTAGATGTACCCGGATACTCAATGGAAATTCAACTGGCGTCCCATCATCTATAGACCCGAAAATGAGCCTATCTGTGATAAGGGTCATCTTAAATGCGAACAATATCTGGTAATCCATTTCTTTTTAAGTGCATTCAATGTAACTTTAGAAGCTTCACCCCGACGCCGGTCAACACCTAGCGATACGAAAAGTGCCGGAGACGCCGATACATCTGTATGCTCTCAAACGATCGATCATTGAGGCTAGTTTATCAAATTTTAATGAAAATAGCTAATTAAATGCCTTGAATTTCACATTCTTAGAATCAATATTTACGTTTTAGAAAAGATTCTACACGAATGTGGCGTTGGCTTTTCGATGGGAGCCATGGAGTAGATGCGATTCGGGAAGAACACATCAAGGCCGAGAGGGTGGGGGTGTTTCGATGAATTTTAAAAGTTTAAAATCATTTAGGACACTGTGTTTTGGAGCTCGTCGATGGTAAAAAGAAAACGAACTCGCAAAATACTCTTCTTGAAGTATCGAGGTACCTTTTACTGAGTTTTAAGCTGACTTAAGAAAAGTGGTTTAGGTGGATGTCCCGATTGGATAGCATTTTCAGGCTTTCTGGAGGAAAGAATACGACATTTGTGAGATTGCACAGGTAAGAGTTGTTTGCGAAAATTCATACATAAAAGGAGTCAATTGCGTTTTAGCTCAACTGTGATGACGATGATCATGGATCAACCAGTGAAGACCGATTGGGGGCCGAGAGAACGATCGGGGAGTGTTCGTAAGATTGACAATTTTTATGAACAAGTTTGTTTTACCTACTTGAATAGCCTGTTCATCAGTTCGACTCAAGCCTTTGTCTCAATTTCTCTTTAGGTAATCTTTCCCTCATTGGACATCCCCGGAGAACAATTCGACCGAAAGAAATTCACATTGAACAACGAGTGGAGGGCTTGTTTTAAGTGAGAATTCTGAGATTATTTTAACTTTGATTTACGAGATTTCTTTTGGAATTGAGCTTGCGATAAAATAAGAGATAATAGAGCTGTTAAAAAAATGTCTTTTAGATACAAACACTCGGGAGAAAATGCGGGAAGTGATGGATTGTATTCGGATATTGTTGGCACCTATGTGATCGAAACAAAGATGTGTCCCTAAAATGTATTTATTACTGTATATTGCTGTATATATCAATGTTCTTCTTATTTTTGTCTTCTTCTGATGGGACAACATCTCTTCATTCACACCATCGATGCAATAAATTCTCTCGTTTGTATGGATTTTCTTTTCTGATCATGTGAACTTTTTTTGGGGAATAAATAAATGGAATTGGCGTGATGGGCAATGCGTGATGGGCATTGCGCTTGTGTACATTGTGACAATGTGAATGGGATTTGGTAGTGCAAAGTTTTAAAGGAAATTGAACTCTGACAAGGAATCATTTAGGTTGACTTCAAGTTTTGTGCCCAAGTTTTTTACTTGCTTACCTAAACCTCATCTATTTTAGTACCTTATTATGTAGAAATTTAAAAAAAAAAACAATTTTGCAGCTCGTGCACTCCGAAAAAATTTTAGGCCAAGCCAACGTTTGGATTTGGCTTGGCCTGAAACTTCGGGCCTAGGAACAGCCCTGGCTGGGATGAATGTTTTTGTCAAATAAAGCAAATTTTCAAGCACTTTTGTACTTTTCATCGTGGCTGGGCACATGTACAACGTCTCCATTTCTAAGTTAGCTTCAGAAATATGAACGTTCAATTGTTGTTCATTATTGTAATGTCGATGTGCTGCTTGAATTCGACGACAACAACAAAAGGTAACAACCATTGAGCAACTGAATAACAGAAAACTATTTCAATTCATCGTCTCTTTTGAATCCTGAGGTAACGATGGTAATCAGCCAAAACCTTTTGGTTGCAATCAATGTGATTGGCCAGCTGTGCGCTGCACTGGAGGATGTGCCCCACCGGGTACTGGATAAAAACAGGGAATAAATAATAAAAGCTGTGCATTATCTTACATTCAATGTTGTTTTGCTACCTACAAAAAAACCGTTTTTTGAAACGGCTGCTTAAGCAACGTGTAAAGCGACGAATAGCCAGAAAAACACAATTGCTGCATAGAAAAAGTAGGTTGACAAGCTTAGCAAATAGCCAAAGATAACAGGATCAAGTTGATGTTCCAATTTGTCAGGAATGAAAAAGAAGCGTTACATCCAAATACCGTCTTTCCTCTAATAGCGCCCCGGGGCACTATTTTTTCGAACGTGCCATTTGTAAGTAAGTAAGTAATTGGTCTGAAAAATCGGAATCGGAAAATCAATTTATTCAAGCAATTTTCAATCCCCGTAATCATGAACGTTTTCCGTAAATACCATGTTCTGCGGTAAATCACCGCAGCAAGATAAAAAAGAGCGATCGTTAATTTTCCACATGAAAGTCTTCTTTTAAAAAATGCTCTTCCAGCTTGTTGTGATTCTTCCATAATATCAAGAGAATATTTCAGCCAGTAGAATGGTTGTTTATTAAATTGAATTCGCAAAGAATTGAGGAAAGAGCTCGCCAGATCACTGTCATCTTCTAATCCTTCGAAATGACATCCAAATTCAATTTTTTCGAAAAGTTTCGCAAAACAATCAGTAATGAGTTGTTCTGAAAAATCGGAATGTGGAAGTTTTCGGCTTTGAAGACAAATCAATTTTTGTGTCTCTTTTGATGCAAAATCAGTTCGAAGCAAGTAATTCATTTTGTCTTCAAAAATTCATTTGTTATATTATTCAAAAAGCGAAAATTTCGACGCATTTTCAAAAAGCAATTTTTTACCGGAATTAAATCAGACTTTTTGAAAGAGATCCTCAAAATCGTCGTGGTCAAAATCACTCTCGTAATTCCAAATTCGAATGTAAATTTCGATTTTCAAATGGAGATTTTCAAATAAAACCTTTACTGTTGGGAAATCTCCGGAAAAATCGAAACTGTAGAGATTGGTGATTTTTGGGAAAAATTTCGTGATCTCAAAAAGCTTTTTCATTTTTCTGACAAGCACGGCTCCAGTTTGATGTGTCAGATCCATTGTAATATCTCGACAATATCGGATTTCATTCAAAAGTTCCCAAATAGATTTCACTGCAATCCCACTTGCTTTCCATTAATTTTTACCATATAATCAAAAATATAAATAGTGGTAACTTCTCCAGAAACAAGGGTCAATTCAAAGCAAAGTTTCTTCCTTGGTGAATCATCGCTCAAGGTTTGTAAAGATCTTTCAAATTCAATTTTCTCCATTTTTCTCGTAAACAATCCATTCTTCAAAATGAAATGTCTAGATTGTTTGTTGATTTGAAGAAGATTTAATGATGTTGGACAACTGATATTCTCAAATATTGATTTCTTTAAATCAAATGGAAGAGAATTAAATGAAAATTGTCCGATTTGGATTTCAATCCAAATTGCATTGACAATCCATTGACATCAAAATAGGTTTCTTTTGAAGAAAGTGCTCAAACTGTCACATATGACAATAGCCGGCAGTTTTCAATTCACCAACCCAATATTAAGTTGGCAACTTGAAGTTGATAACACTTTTGCTTAGAACTTTTAGAAATAATTAAAATTTGCATGATTAGAGAAAACAATTTATTCTTTATAAAATGATCTTTAGGAGATTTGAATAAACTTTTCTTTTCGGTTTTCTTCGAAAACAGGAAGATGGAGAGTCAAAATGGCGGCAATTTAGACCAATTTATAGCCAACTTCAAGTTACCAATCTAATCTTACAAGGGGCTTAGGGCAAATAGAGAATCAAAATATACTCTCTCAGATAGGAGATAACTGAAACTTCATCAAGGAGTATCTGAGCGCTTCTTGACTGTTCATTACTAATTTTTCACTCTTCTTGCTACTTACTTGTATGCACAAAGCGATGAGAAAGTTTTTTTGCAATTTTCTCGTTCTCTCGCTCATATGTGGGCAATGATTCGTGATTGTATAATTGCATCCACCAATACATATCCAAGTCTAGATTTTCGTTTCCTTAAATAAATCTTTTATCTCACTTGTCCTATCGCATAAGTAACATAAATCAGTATGCCGGCACAGAATATATAAAGAGGTGAGAATGGGATGTATGGTGGGTGAAGTGCTGTAAAACGAGCCACATAAATATCTTCTAGATGTTTGAGAGAAAAGAAAACGACGGATGTTTCTAAAATATTTGCGAAGATGTATAGAATCTTTTACAGTGTTATGTTATATTGTTATAAGAACGAAAACAAAATGTTTGTGTTACAAGACTACAAGATGTTTGACCGGAGGCAGATCCGAACCCTGAGTTTCTCGCATTCGTTGCGTCCGCGCTAACCATTCGGCTATTGCACGCGACACCGACGAATTGACATTTCGAAATTGCTTTAGAAAACATTTCTTGACTTGACTTGACTTGATTCAGATAAAGCCTTTGCAAAATCGATTCTCTTCTGTTGCAGGACAAGACACGACAGAATTGACGAATGAACGGATATCCGAGATCCCAAACCGATCCAAAAGTATTGCCATCATCGTAAAAGATCGCGAAGAAACACCTGAAATTTCAAGGCTTGTGTTGACCGCGCTTTTATGATTTTGTTCAAAACCATTTCAAAGGAACCCTAAATCATAGCCTGATCCAAATGCAAATTCCCAAGACAGGAGGCCAAGAGCTAACTTTTGCTTAGTTTACAGGTTTAAATGTCGCAACTTTTACATACCTTCTGACCTGGACTAATTAAAAAAAGTTGCGTGAGCCAACCAAGCTAGAAGACCTATAGGACATGTTGGGGCATATTGAAGCTCGAGCTATTCGAGCCATACTCGAGCTCAAATTTCAGCTCACTTTCCGACATTATATTGACCGATGAAATTTGATGGATCCGCTCTGTAATCATTTCCTCCAAACGTGATGACAAGGTTTGGCACATCTTTCCCGGAAGATCGATCACATAAAGGGCAAAGAGGGTCTTCCTCCTCCTTTCCTTTATTTTCCAAAAACAATTTCTTGTGACTGAAAAACGTTTATTTGCGAGAAGTGAAATGTTTGTTTTCAGAAGAATAGATAAAATGCAATTTATTGGTTTTTGTCCACAGAAAGGAACACGAAGAATTATCAGAATTGAGAGCTTCTTTTGCAGATAAAACTGGCGAATTGATCCCATGGAAGAAAGAGCGACCATTTCCCATTCATGCTCCAAAGCTGAAATGTGTTCATTTCTGATCGAAATCCTTTGAGAACACCTTTTGAGTGATTCTACACAAAGAAATTTCCTTAGATTGATAGAAACATTTTCGGATTAATTCTGCATTGGAAATTCAAATCGATATCGATGCTTTCATGTTGAAAATTTCACCATAGCATTGGTGTCGAAATCCGGATCTCCCCATATCCAATTCGTGAAATCCAGCGCACTTCCATCCGTCCATTCCAAAGAATATTCGTTGTTCGGATTGCGCTGAATAAAGAAATTTTTATGTTTTCGACGTTGACATTTAAACAGATTCTCCTTTTTTCTTGTTGTAATTATTCCAGTTTCCAAATGAAACCATTATTTTTATCAAACAACTCTCAGTCAAATGAATTTTTTTTCACAAAGAGCCTTCCACTTCGAAAATCGCTAAAAGAATCATTACTTTCTATTTATGTATGTCTTGAATGAGAAAAATTCAACCTTCAGCCCGATCCAGTAGTGAGAATTCGAATGAATAGTTTTTGCTAAATATTGATTGTCTTTGGTTTTATAAAGCATAAATTGCTACAAAAATCATAAATTTTCAGAAATCAAACATTTGGATTTTTTACCGAGTTCCTGAACAAAATCGTTCTCTTCCTGACTGTGAATTGAGACCAAGTGACCCTTTTGTTCCACACAATATTCCACGGCTTCATCAAACTCTATTTCTTGAGCGAAAGCCTTGTGATGAAGATAATCTTGGTTGACAACATCCACCAAACCTTGTACCAAGAAGCGGTGTTTTCAAGATACAACCATTCATCACGACACGGAATTTCAGCTCGATCATTCGGAGATCTGAATGGTTAAAAATATAACTATTTGAATGGAAAAGAATACCTGAATTGATCGAATTGATCGCTTTGTTGAATCGACGAAGAGATTTGATGGAAAAGGAGGAGAATCGTGATGAATAGACTGACCGCCATCACGCCATTCCGATCAATTGGTTAATTCGTTTAGAATTAGGGGAAATGGGACGAACGAATGGAGCGACAATGCCAAAGTGCCAAAGCCAAAGTTTTGACGGCCCAACGGGCAGAAATGGCTGTTTTGACGGCGAGCAGGGCTGGAATCGAAGTTTTTGAAGGCCAGAGCGGCCTGAATCACTGTTTAGACGGCCCGAAGGACAGGAATGACGGTTTTGACAACCTGAAGGGCTTGAAGAAATTTAAAAATTGAAAAGTAACCACATTTAAACATGTGGCTTATAGAAAAACTGTGTAATTGGCGTTAAATTCAGCTGACAATCGGTAACTTTTAAGTCTTTCAACTCTAATTTCATCTATTTATATAAATAGTGAACTGATGAGCACATACCTGAACGCAGGGAAAGAGGACGAGAGTCCTATCTAACGGAAGTATAAACTTGAAATGAAAAAGCGGACTCTATTCTCCTGGTATTTGGTCTATGAATTCATGGATGATTAAAGGAAAGGGTTTGGAAGCAATTCTTTAATTTAAATTGTGTTTGTCGTAATTTCAACACAAAAACAAAAATTTATTTTTTTACAGAAAACAAATTTCTCCACTTCTACATTTCTGCAGTTTTTCCTTACAATCATTTTATTCAAGAAAACTTTTAATTTCAGAAATACAATCTGTCAAAAAATTATAGACGCACCCTGTTTTTTGCTTGTTTGGAGCCGGATATAAGTGCTAGTCCAGTGAAAAGTATTTTTTTAGTTTCGTTAATGTAAAAAAACAACCCATGCAAAATTTATGGCATTTCACCCATCCAAAGTACTTTATCGTTCAAAAAACGTTTTATCAGCTGTCAAAAAATTATAGACGCAATTTAAATTTGACCATTTATTCTATCGATATTTGTTTTCAGTTTTTTCTCCTTTTTTTTGCTTATTATTTATGTTTATAAATGTTTTTGTGATGTGGTGGGAAAAACGCGTATCGATGTGCTCGGCACGCTTGGTCACTCAAACAGGGACATTGCTCGTCGCATCAGACGTTCTGAGAAGTGTATTCGAATGTAGCGAGAATGGCCTTCCAATGAAGGTTAATATAAACTTTGTATAAACAATAAAGGTTTCTTTAGGTAAAACACATCTATTACTGGCCTGACGATAAACACGACGACATCCGTCGAAGAAGACGACATCACTCTAACACGACGACATCACTCGAAGAGGTTCGCTAGGAGATGAAGCTTCCGGTCACTCGCCAAACTGTGCACAACGTTGTCAAACGAGAAACATCTAGCCGTCTATCTGAACAACAATCCGGGCAATAACTTTACTTTTATGCACGATGACGCGAGTATTGGGAGTTGCTCCACAATGGATTGGCTGACAAAATCCAAAATCGACACTGGACTAGCACTTATGTCCGGCTCTGAACTGGCAAAAAACAGGCTCCGTCTATAATTTTTTGTCAGATTGTATAAGAGTTCATTTTTGGGTTAAAATTAGAGAAACATTATATCCCATTACTAGGTCTGCTGCAGTCCAACTGAAAGTCAAATAGCCTTTAGTTGAGCTTGATCTGTTAAGTTTACTATTGTCCTGGAAACCTTGTTTGAATGTTTGGCTTAGTTTGGGCTGACTCTACCCAACAAAAATGTTTAATGAACCAACTTATTATATTTTATATGAATTTATTCTATCTTTTCTTTCAATGCCAATAAATTTCTATACTTTATATTGTATTGTCAAGAAGACACCGGTTGAGATGAAAGAATATCAAATACCTTTGATGGTTTCACAGGTTTGAAGATTTTATCCAGTTTTATGCAAACTGAATGCAGCTATTTGCAATGACATTGGATCTCATATTGTTATTAATCAAGCCTGAGTTGAATTTCCCGGCAATTGCTGGTCGAATTTTTGGTGTCTGGGAATCGGTGTTCGGGCTTGGAGCAAAACAGGCACTGGTGGGGTAAAGATCTGATTTATAAAAACCTGTGAATGTTTCTGGTAGAATGTTTATGTCTACACAAACCTGGTACATTAGCCCTTTCAGGCAATCGGCGCTTTCTTTGTTGTTTCCACACTTTCTGCTCTCACAAATATCTTCTTCTTGAAGCTACAGAGCCTTTCAGAACCTGACAGTTCGTTCAAATAAAGAGTCAAAACTATTTCAAACTTTCACTTTTTTAGATTTAAACGATTAGGCAAAATGCTATACATGAGTCCATTATTTGTTATCTTTCCTTTATGGTTATCTGGAAGTACTGAATTACTTTCAATTGAAGAAGGCACAACAACTGAAAGCTTTCAAGAGCTTATACATGTTGGGATAAGTTTATTAACATGGGCGTGACAATAGGGATGTTCCAACTTGGCCCTAAGCCCTTTCTGGTGTGCCCGCAGCGTAAGTAGGGAAAGCTCCGAAGTTACATTTTGTTGATGCGTTGATGGATCAGATCCGTCGGTCGGTCCGTCGGAGTCGGTTTAATAGCCTTACGGTTCCTCCAATGGAGTGTCCAAACTTCTGGCAGCTAGATGACTGTCAAGTAGCGGACAGCTGACGGGAGCCGGAGCCCAAATGTAACCCGATGGCGAGCAACAGACCATTCTGCCTTCCTGCACGAGCGCCCTGCCAAACAGTAGTGGTTGCACAAACCACAGCGGTTTCCCTCACGGGAGATGTAGACCTCAGATAACAATTTAAAATCTACGTGAATACGAGTACTGTACGAATACGAAACCAACAGTTTAAAGCTTACGACTCGACTATGTTGATGCATAAGAAATTCCGCTTTTCCACAAACAAAAAATTTGATATAAAAATGCCTTTAGGTAACAATTTATTTGAAACAATAAGCACCATCGTTATCTATAACATCCTCTTATGCTCCCATAATCTAGTCCGGTCACGAGCAAGGGACCATTCTACCTCCATCCACGGGTGGTTCCGTAAAACAGTAGCCGTCCAAAACATCCTTTCGGTCTGGGGCTCGGGACTATTGGTTTTCCATCCCGGGCCGGCCGCTCTACTAGGTTGATGCATAAGAAGCTTTATTTGGTATCATTTGAAAGCTTAAAATGTCATCTAGTGTCATCTAAAAATCGAGAACTCGCCTCGATTTTTCGCCTTCCACCAAAGGCGTTAGGCATCAAGCCAGAATGCTTAATTCTGGCTCTACAAACTCTGTCTCCAAAATTTCCATTTACACTCTCAGCCAGAGAACCGATGTGCGAGTGGACACCAAAGCATACGAAGAGCGAAGGGGCTTAAAGAAACAACTCTTACCAAAATCAAAGATTCATCTTTTCCTTCAATCATTCTTAGCAGTTTTTCTATTTTGATTACAGGTTGCGGCATTCTAGAAGCGCTCCTCGCAGCTTGAAATGACGAATTGTATCTAAAATTATAAAGTTAAGATCGAAAAGAATAACGATTGTAAATCGCAAAATCCAGAAAAAAAATAAGAAATGAATGAAAAATTGTCTGTTTCGCACCAAAAACACAAAGGTATTCAGTTTAACAATTTGTATGTTTTTTTGATCAAGTGCTAATTTTACTTTGACTTCGCCTTGACTTTTCATTGGCCTGGCTAAATTCACAAGGCTAAGCCAAGTAAATTGGAAGCCATTGGCCTGGCTTGGCCTGGCTTTTAGGCTTGGCCCTGCTCCACCCCTGATCCCAGCCCTTTGGACCTTTCAGAAAATTCATTCCGGTCTTTCAGGTCGTCAAAACAGTCATTCCTGTCCTTCGGGCCGTCTAAACAGTGATTCAGGCCGCTCGGGCCTTCAAAAACTTTGATTCCAACCCTTCTGGCCGTCAAAACAGTCATTCCTGCCCGTTGGGTCGTCAAAACATTGGCATTGGCATCTTGGCATCGTCGCTCCATTCGTTTTTCCCATTTCCCCAAATTCTAAGCGAATTTATCAATTGATCGGAATGGGTGTGATGGCGGTCAGTCGGCTCATCACGATTCTCCTCCTTTTCCATCAAATCTCTTCGTCGATTCAACAAAGCGATCAATTCGATCAATTCAGGTATTCTTTTCCATTCAAATAGTTATATTTTTAACCATTCAGATCTCCGAATGATCGAGCTGAAATTCCGTGTCGTGATGAATGGTTGTATCTTGAAAACACCGCTTCTTGGTACAAGGTTTGGTGGATGTTGTCAACCAAGATTATCTTCATCGCAAGGCTTTCGCTCAAGAAATAGAGTTTGATGAAGCCGTGGAATATTGTGTGGAACAAAAGGGTCACTTGGTCTCAATTCACAGTCAGGAAGAGAACGATTTTGTTCAGGAACTCGGTAAAAAATCCAAATGTTTGATTTCTGAAAATTTATGATTTTTGTAGCAATTTATGCTTTATAAAACCAAAGACAACCAATATTTATTTTAGCGAAAACTGTTCATTCGCATTCTCTTTTCCCGATCGGAATGAAGGTTGAATTTTTCTCATTAAAAGGCATACATAAATAGAAAGTAATGATTCTTTTAGCGATTTTCGAAGTGGAAGGCTCTTGGTGAAAAAAGATTTGTCTGACTGAGAGTTCATTGATAGAAATAATGGTTTCATTTGGAAACTGGAATAATTACAATAAGAAAAAAGGGAGAATCTGATTAAAACATCAACATAAAACATAAAACAAAAGATTTCTTGATTTAGCGAAATCCGTACAATGAAAATTCTTTGGAATGGTTAGATGGTTCGGTGGATTTCACGAATTGGATAGGGGTAAGACCTAGGACAGTTGAAACATCTCCAGGAAAACAACCCGTTGTTTCTAAATCTCATTTGCTGCATCGATCGTAATTGTACGGAAATCGGAAATCAATTTGAATTGGCACGGAAATCACATTCTTGTCCGCTCGAGTCAGCATTTAGCTAAAAAGTGAGATGGAAGTTCGGTGGATTTCACGAATTGGATAGGGGGAAAACCGAAATTGGAGACCCACGCTATGGTGAGATTTTCAAAGTAAAGCATCGATATTGATTTGAATTTCCAATGCAGAATTAATCCGAAAATGTTTGAGTCAATCTAAGGAAATTTCTTTGTGTAAAATAATGCAAAATCTTTTCTCGAAGGATTTTCATCCGAAATGAACACATTTCAGCTTTGGGGCGGCGATGGCAAATGATCGGTCTTTTTTCTATGGGGTATATCCGTTCCATTTATCTGCAAAAGAAGCTCTGAATTTTGATAAATTCTTTGTGTTCCTTTCTGTGAACAAAAACCAATAAATTCTATTTTATCTATTCTTCTGATAACACACAAACATTTCACTTCACTTCGAAACACAAAAAATGTTTATCAGTCACAGTTTCAGCTGGTTGTTGTCATTCAAACTCTAATTCGTCACAGATTGAGGAGAGAAGACAAAGTTAAACAAGAAATTTGTTGGGCAATAAAGGGAAAGGAGGGGAAAGCACGATTCGTTTAGTCATCGGTTGATTTCGATTAAGGAATTTCCGTCGGCAAACAATGAGTTAACGACTCAATCGCATCAGGAATTCTTTTTTGGAAAAAGAAACGCTTATTCTCTCAAGAAAGGATGAAGAGCCTTCGATAGTGACAGTTTCAAGCAACAAAAAAAACAAAAACACCGGCTTTTTCAGGAAACGGAAAATAACGAATCGGACAAATGTGAAGCGCAGGCTTTTGCGCGGGCTACTATGAGGACTACTCCGTTGGAAAGAGCACGACTGAGTGCAAGGGAGGCCCTTTTTGCGTGTGGGACTTTGGAAATTCTGCATTTAGAATCAAAAGTGAAGGTGACTTTTAATTTACAGATTCGAGCAGCGCAAACAGCTCGCAAGGTTGCCTCAGCAGGGGCATACGCTGAGTACTGGAAAGCTTTGGATGAGATCGATGCCAGGATTTGCAAGAGACTCACCTATGCAGATACATATAGCAGAACGGTAAGTGAAAAGCGGTGAATGATAGCGCCTAGCCAACTACTCCATTCAGATATCCAAGACAGTCCGAAGATAGAGCCCGTGACAAGTACCACTCTCGGTACCCATAAGGTAAAAGTTACGAAGACGTGGTCTCCAGATTGGAGCCGGTGATCATAGAGTTGGAAAGACAGGTATTTTAAAAAGGGTACAAATGTGACTTTTCAAACCGATGTACTGGTCGTTGGGCATCAAGTAATCTTGCGCTGTATTCACGGTTATATCTACGATCGACCGTTGATGGAGTTGCCTTATTTGCACTGTCCGCCTCATTCACTCGTTAAGCTCACTCCATTTCCCTCATTTTCTCCCGAGTGTTTGTATCTAAAAGAGATTTTTTTAACAGCTCCATCATCTCTTATTTTATCGCAAGCTCAATTCCAAAAGAAATCTTGTGAATTAAAGTTAAAATAATCTCAGAATTCTCACTTAAAACAAGCCCTCCACTCGTTTTTCAATGTGAATTTCTTTCGGTCGAATTGTTCTCCGGGGATGTCCAATGAGGGAAAGATTACCTAAACAGAAATTGAGACAAAAGCTTGAGTCGAACTGATGAACAGGCTATTCAAGTAGGTAAAACAAACTTGTTCATAAAAATTGTCAATCTTACGAACACTCCCCGATCGTTCTCTCGGCCCCCAATCGGTCTTCACTGGTTGATCCATGATCATCGTCATCACAGTTGAACTAAAACTCCGTTTACCCATTTTAAGTATGAATTTTCGCAAACAACTCTTACCTTTGCAATCTCACAAATGCCGTCTCTTTTCCTCCAGAAAGCCCGAAAATGCTATCCAATCGGGACATCCACCTAAACCACTTTTCTTAAGTCAGCTTAAAACTCAGTAAAAGGTACCTCGATACTTCAAGAAGAGTATTTTGCGAGTTCGTTTTCTCTTTACCATCGACGAGCTGCAAAACACAGTGTCCTAAATGATTTTAAACTTTTAAAATTCATCGAAACACCCCCACCCTCTCGGTGTTGATGTGTTCTTCCCGAATCGCATCTACTCCATGGCTCCCATCGAAAAGCCAACGCCACATACGTGTAAAATCTTTTCTAAAACGTAAATATTAATTCTAAAACTGTGAAATTTAAGGCATTTAATTAGCTATCTTCATTAAAATTTGAAAAAACTAGCATCGTTGAACGATCGTTTGAGAACATGCAGATGTATCGGCGTCTCCGGCACTTTTCGTATCACTAAGTCGTCGGTGTGGGGGTGAAGTTTCTAAAATTACCTTGAATGCACTTACAAAGGAATGGATTACCAAATATTGTTCGCACTCAAGATCACCGCTATCAAAGATAGGCTCATTTTCGCGTTTATAGATGATGGGATGCCAGTGGAATTTCCATTGAGTATCCGGGTACATCTAGATTTTACTAGGGTGCGGTAATATTCAGTGTGGCTGAATGGAAAATCGGGCACTTAATGCCATAAAATTTACTTAAATATCCTTAATCACTTACATAAATCGGTTTCCCGCAATCATTGCTACGTTGAAATGGAGGCGGTAATGAAGCCTTTTTGTCAGGCGATTCACTGACCATTTTGCCTAAAATGTGTAAGTTTAGAAAGAATTGTTAAAATTGACCCATATCCGGACTCAGTGGAACACGATTCTTCAAATTGACATCATCCATCCAATTGACTCGATTGATCGGCGTCATTGCGTGAAGAATATAGAAATAACGGACCTAAACATGGGTAAAAGTTTAATTGCCGCTGTGAAAGTATACCAAATGCAACGCAGTATCATCATAGCAAAAATACACACCAGCCGCCCTTGCTTCAGACTAAAAATCAAGATAAACTTACAGCTAAACTACACATAAAGTACATTATGAATGTGTAACGTATTGCCAATTTGTTCAAACGTTTGTCGTCGGATATGGGGCAAAGATCCGTTCCCTGTGGCCTGATCTCTAAAAAACAAATTTTTTTAAACAAACAAGGCAATGAACAACTTATGTTTTAACAAAACAAGAAACGCACCGATTTCCGGGCATGTAAGACGGATCACAATTCTCTGATCCATAGAATTCGTTTGGCCTTGTATTGATCTCGGAGTTGAGTTGTAAAATTGCACGCCAACATCCGCGAGTTGCAACTTCTAAATGTGGCAACAATAGCAGAAAATCGAAAAGAATTATACCTTATTCTTCTGGTAATGATCGAAAAAGTCGTATATATATGCGGCCCAACCCCACATTTTGATCTTCCTATTTGAATGAAAATCTCTAAAATTCGAACAGAACATTTATTTAGATCCTATACAAACGAAACTAACGGTTGACAAACATTGCACGTGAAAGAAATATTATCGCCAGGCCAGTAATGGATGTGCTTTACCTAAAGTTTTACTATCTACTGTTTTACCTTTTACCTTTATTGTTTATACAAAGTTTATATTAACCTTCATTGGAAGGCCATTCTCGCTACATTCAGCCACTTCCCGCCTTTTGAGACCAAAATGAATATCCCTTAATTAAATTTTATAATTTAGCAAAAGTATAGGCATTGCTAATTTTTATAGTACACCACTGCATAAGTTCATTTACGCCAAAAACTTAACTCAAGCCAGTAACAAGATGGAAATCCATTTATTTCTTCAAACCACAAACCTCCATAATCTCTTTCTGACTTACTTCAAAGTACGACGATCACGAGACGAAAAGAAATGAGACAGAAACAACCTCCACCAAATCATGAACTGTAAGCGGTTCCTTCAAGATACAACCATCCATGACGAGACGGAATTTCAGCTCGATCATTCGGAGATCTGAAGGGTTGAAAATTTGGCTATTTGAAGGGAAAAGAATACGTGAATTGATCCAATTGATCGCTTTGTTGAATCGACGAAGAAATTTGATGGAAAAGGAGGAGAATCGTGATGAATAGACTGACGGCCATCACACCCATTCTGGATCAATTGGTTATTTAGCTTTAAATTAGGGGAAATGGGAAGAAAGAATAGAGCGACGATGCCGAAGTACCAAAGCCAAAGTTTTGACGGCCCAACGGGCAGAAACGACTGTTTTGACGGGCAGAATCGAAGTTTTTGAAGGCCCGAGCGGCCTGAATCACTGTTTAGACGGCCCGAAGGACAAGAATGACTGTTTCGACGACTTGAAGGGCTGGAATCGAAGCTTTTGAAGGCCAGAGCGGCCTGATTCACTGTTTAGACGGCCCGAAGGACAAGAATGACTGTTTTGACGACCTGGAAGGGCCTGAATCGATTTAAAATTGAAAAAGTAACCACATTTAAACATGTGGCTTATAGAAAAACTGTGTAATTGATGTTAAATTCAGCTCATAATCGATGGCTTTGAAGTCTTTCAACTCTAATTTCATCTATTTATATAAATAGTGAACTCGTGAGCACATACCTGAATGCAGGAGACAAAAATTTAAATCGTTTACCCCGCACCTACAAAGGGAAAGAAGATGAGAGTTCGATTTAACAGAAGCATAAACCTGAAATGAAATGAAAAAGCTGTTTTGCTCTATTCTCCTTGTATTTTGTCTATGAAGTTATGGATGATTAAAGAAAAGGTTTGGGAGCAATTCTTTAATTTGAATTGTGTTTGTCATAATTTCAACACAAAAATCTTAAATTTATTTTTTACAGAACACGAATTTCTCCATTTTCACATATCTTCAGTTTTTCCATACAATGAATCATTTTATTCAAGAAAACATTTAATTTCAGAAATATAAGAGCAGTTTACTCGTGGGTTCATTTTTTGCGTTAAAATTAGAGAAACATTATATCCCATTATTAGGTCTGCTGCAGTCCAACTGAAAGTCAAATAGCCTTAAGTTGAGCTTGACCTGTTAAGCTTACTATTGACCTGGAAACCTTGTTTGATGGCTTGGCTTAGTTTGGGCTAACTATAAATATGAATAGCTATGAATAGTTCAGCTCTTGCGTTTTGCTATAGTTTTGTTTTCGTTTGAACAGAGAAAAACCTAAATAGGGAGGTTCAGTATCGCACAATTAACAAGCTTTTGGGTTAAAGTAAGTATCGAACTGATCGATTCGGTTTTCCCTTTTCAAAAATTACAGGTGACAATCAAAATTGACTTGCAAAAACAAACAGGTGAAAAAATGGATTTCCCTTTAAATTATAAAAACTATATGCATATTTGAAAGAATTTGGGTCCACTTTTACCCAACAAAAATGTTTAATGAACCAACTTATTATATTTTATATGAATTTATTCTATCTTTTCTTTCAATGCCAATAAATTTCTATACTTTATATTGTATTGTCAAGAAGACACCGGTTGAGATGAAAGAATATCAAATACCTTTGATGGTTTCACAGGTTTGAAGATTTTATCCAGTTTTATGCAAACTGAATGCAGCTATTTGCAATGACATTGGATCTCATATTGTTATTAATCAAGCCTGAGTTGAATTTCCCGGCAATTGCTGGTCGAATTTTTGGTGTCTGGGAATCGGTGTTCGGGCTTGGAGCAAAACAGGCACTGGTGGGGTAAAGATCTGATTTATAAAACCTGTGAATGTTTCTGGTAGAATGTTTATGTCTACACAAACCTGGTACATTAGCCCTTTCAGGCAATCGGCGCTTCTTTGTTGTTTCCACACTTTCTGCTCTCACAAATATCTTCTTGAAGCTACAGAGCCTTTAGAACCTGACAGTTCGTTCAAGTAAAACAGTCAAAACTATTTGAAACTTTCACTTTTTAGATTTAAACGATTAGGCAAAATGCTATACATGAGTCCATTATTTGTTATCTTTCCTTTATGGTTAGCTGGAAGTATTGAATTACTTCCATTTGAACAAGGCACAACAACTGAAAGCTTTCAAGAGCTTATGCAGGTTGGGATGAGTTTATTAACCCACCAGGAATGTTCCAACCTGGCCCTAGGATTTGTAAGCCAATTCAGAACAGCCAAGGTCAGCTAGGTCAGGTCTGGCTTCACGCTGACCCAGGTTTTTTAGACTGGATCAAGAAGCCGGACCTGGCTTGGTTTGAGCAAAATCGGTAATTTTGTGACTTAATTAGATCTTGGTTTATTTAATGATGTTAAATTAACATTAGCTAAATAAATGTGCTATTTTTGACAGAAAATTTGAAAAGTTTTATGTCATTTTGAAAGATTATGAATAAAGAATCTGGTTTCCTAGCCAGCCCTTGGATTCAGGGAATCGACATTGCCCGAGCCTGGCCTGGTAAATTTGAGTTTGGCTCATCCTTGCATAACACCATCTCACCTATATATAATTGCGAAATGTCAGTTCGTCGGCGTCGCGTGCAATGGGCGAATGGTTAGCGCGCACGCAACGAATGCGAGAGGGCCAGGATCTGCCTCCGGTCAAACATCTTGTAGTCTTGTTACACAAACATTTTGTTTTCCTTCTTATAACACTATAACATAGCACTGTAAAAGAGTCTAAAAATCTTCGCAAATATTTTAGAACCATCCATCGTTTTCTCTCTCAAACATCTCGGATATTTATGTGGCTCGTATTACAGCACTTTACCCACCATACATCCAATTCTCACCTATTTATATATTCTGTGCCGGCATACTGATTTATGGTACTTATGCGATAGGACAAGTGAGATAAAAGATTTATTTAGGAAAACGAAAATTTAGACTTGATATGTATTGGTGGATGCAATTATACAATCACAAATCATTGCCCACATATGAGCGAGAGAACGAGAAAATTGCAAAAAAAACTTTCTCATCGCTTTGTGCATACAGGTAAGTAGCAAGAAGAGTGAAAAATTAGCAACGAACAGTCAACAAGAGCTCAGATACCCTTGATGAAGTTTCGGCTATCTCCTATCTGAGAGAGTATATTTTGATTTTCTATTTGCCCTAAGCCCCTTATAAGATTAGGTTGGTAACTCGAAGTTGGCTAACAATTGGTCTAAATTGCCGCTATTCTAACTCTCCATCTTCCTGTCTTGGAAGAAAACCGAAGACAAAAAGTTTATCCAAATCTTCTAAAGATCATTTTATAAAGAATTATTTGTTTTTTTCCAATCACGCAAATTATAATTCAAACAGCGCATTAATTGCTTCTAAAAGGTCCTAAGGAAAAGCGTTATCAACTCAAGTTGCCAACTTAATATTTTCTATTCATCACGATTTGTGTGCAAATCTTTGTTTTGAATCTGGTTTCGATCTCTGTCTGCTTTTCGAATCAGTTCAGTTCAGAGCAAATAGAATAAGTTGAGATTCGGTTCAATTTTAAGCTTTAAACTTCCCAATTCAGCATGTTATCCCAACAGCATCTCTTGGTTTTCCCTGGATCTACTATGCTATTATTATTTTCATACAAGCCGATAAAATCTATCAGTGTAGGTCATTTCGGAACCGTTTTCTGTCATTTTCGGCTTTCATTATAACATCTGTGCCCAGAAAATGTAGCCCATTTAGCTGTGAATAATTTTTTCTTCGGTCTCCTTTGTTCTCACGGAATTTTGGGATCGATTTCATTGATTATTTTGACTGAACCGTATCGACGATTCACAACTATACTCATTCAGAAAACACCGATATTAAAATATTTTGGAAATCATTGCTTCAAGCAAACGAATCAACTAATTATTGTTCCTATTTCAACAAGTGGCGCTTAAAAGACTTAATAAAATTGAACAATGCTTTGCTTTTTAATGTCATAGGTTATTTTAGAATCTACTATATATAAAGCAAAAAGAGACATCTGTTCATCTGTCACAGGCACCCTTTTCTCAACGTCTAGATCGAATTCCTCGAAATGCAGTTTTTTTTGTTCGATAGGAAATTTTTCACCTCAGCCGCCCCCAAAAAAATCAGAAAATCTCATAAAGCCGGTTCTTTCTAAATGCAAAATTGCAAACCTAGTCAGCTGTTGCCCAGCTTCCCTGAGCAAAAGGCCGAGGGTAGAGAGCGTCTCTCAAGAGAGAGGGAAAGACACAGGTCAGGCTTCGATTCCCTCCCGGAGAAAATTAGTTTTGCTTTTCTTTCAAAATAGATTTTAACCGTTGGAAAGTCAATTTCGATAAGTTTTCTACCAAAGGGAAGAGACCAAGTCTGTCCAAATGACATGATGCGCAAGATTGTTCAGGGAAGTTCCTCGAACAACAACAGTTTTCAGCTACGTTAGCATTTTTTTCAAAGCATTTTTCTGTCAATGAGCTAATTGTTTAAACATACTGTATTTTTTCAGAGAAGAGCATGCTCTTCATTTTTAATCCTCAAGATTGACTGACCAAAAAAGTCGATACCACATAAATAAAAAAAGCTAAAAATTATTTAAAACTATTCAAAACGCATAGCCGCCATTAGCATAACGTACAAAAACGTGTGTGTGTGTATGTGTTTCAAAGTAAAATTTTTTTACCCGGAACCCCATAGCGAATCTTTCTAAGAAAATCTATGTGGTCCCCATACAAATCTTTTCTTCGAAAATTTCTTAATTTTCTCAAAAATCATGTTTCCACTCCTACTGTCAAACTAAAATACTTATATCTGGACCCAAATCTACTTTATCTACTCTTAAAAGTTCTAAAAAAGTCCCAATTTTGAGGATCAGGATCCATAAGAGAAAACCGTATGTAGTTTTCCATTTCGCACCAATTAATTTTTACTCCTCTCCGGGGCTGAGTTGTTCAAAAAGCTGCACAGATAAGGAATATTCTTGAAAAGAAAAACGGGTACTTTGCTTCTCAATCGACTCTACAACTCCATTTTTCCTCTTCTCTTCAGTCACAAATTTAATCCAATGATCCATCAGAAAAAATAATTCACACTTTCTTCATTTGAGTTCAAAGAAATCAACATTTGAGAATATCAGTTGTCCAACATCATTAAATCTTTCTCTCGAAATCAAATAAACAATTCAGATATTTTATTTAAAAGAATGGATTGTTTACGAGAAAATCCAGAAAATTTA